TAAATAATTAGATATATAAAATTATGAAATCAATGAAATCTAAAAGAAACTAAAAAGTGCTGTCCTTCTGGTGCACGTTACAAATTCTAAAATTTTAAAAATGAATTTTACTTTGTTTTGTGTTAGATTTACTTACAACTGATAAAATATGGAAAACAAGAATCACAGGCATTGGTTTACAATCACAGAGAGCAGAATGTGAGGAAAACCTTCTTTTTGGATAACTGTAACCTGACAGCAGTGTCTTCAGATGCTGGACTTTGGAATAGTCCCAACCTAACCAAAAATAATGGATGACAGACTGAATATAAAAGATGGCTGTAGTGAGCACAATGTGACCCAATGTTAAGTGAAGTCCTGTTGTAAAACATTAGTTGGTCTATGGGCTTTAAACTGGATGTAACAAGCAAGATGTAACAGTTACAGGATCCTGCTTTACCTTCTTTTTGGACCCACAAGTTACAACTTGAGCATGATGATGTATTCAATAACACTTGAAGCTAGCAAATGAGATTGTAACATTCAATAAAATTGAGTAAAAGAGCAGAAGCAGTGTTTCCTCAAAGACATGTATAATGTGACCTTGTTTTGCAACCATTCTTCCCAGCTGGACATTAAGGAATGCACATTTGCATTACAGTGACTTTTTAGATCCATCTTTTATATAAAGTCTTAGTGGATGTAATGAAAGAGTATCCACAAAATAAAGGGTTTCGTATTGCTTATTTGGCTGCCCAATTCTGTTTTGCATAAAAAGATTGATTTTTAAGAAACTAATCGGTCAAGTTGTAATTATCAGTGGAGCCAATAGCTTTTGCTTAAGCACTGATAGCAAAAAATTCATGCAAGCAGGAAGAACTGAGTGCCCCAAATAAATTGCAGACAACTAAAGCCTTTTCATAAGAAGCATTTCAGTTCGACTTAAACCATTTGCTAGCCAAGATATCAGCTGGGTTTGATGACATATGGCACTATGCCAAAACTTAATCTGATAATCTGATTAAAATCCTTCACGTTATTATTGTGATGGGGAATAATCACCAGGCATGAAGCGTCAGATATGTTCTACTTTGCTGTGGACATCTTAAAAAATTGTACTGCTCTGCCTCTAAGCTGTATAATTTAATAATATATTATCAGTCGTCAGCCATTGTCTTCATTGTCTCCAACCATTTAAGTTCTGCTAAGAAATGATTATTCATTCCGTGGTTTTTGCAGTGCTTTAGGGTGTACTGCATTGATGCTCCAAAGTGCTCAGAAATCACAAGTTAAGGCTTTTGGGGATAATGGGGGGGTGGAGGACCATTCACATTGGGCTGAAAGTAGATGGCGCAAGACGTAGAAAAGGAGCCAGAAGAGAGCCGGATTCAGTGGAAGCGTGGGTCGGCCCTTGAGACATGTACTGAGTGGATATGGAATGACAGCACAAGCCCAATTAGTCTTGGATGCCAGGGCTGCTACAGGGAGGTCGGTGCAAGTGATCAAGCCATTCATGCATTCAAGCACTCGCCCGCAGGCATTCTCCGCCAACAGCCTGGGTAAAGTTACTCTATCACTGCTTCTGCTGGACTCCTGATCGCTCTCATTGCGCTGCCTCCGCTCTCCCCCTCTCCCTTCCTTCCTTCCTTCCTTCCTCTAGCATGAAATGCACTGCCTCGCCCGTTCTCATTTGTCTTTTTTCACACTAATCCAGAGTTGCTTCCCTTATTGGTTTTCTTTTTTCCCCCTCACACATTCACACTTGCTAACACACTCTCTCTTAAAGACATTAACACGCTCCACTCGAAAGCCTGTCCATGCCTGAACAGTGACAGTACCACTCCTTCTGTCCTCTACACCCTCCCACTTTTTCCCCATCCCTAGAACTTGAGTATTACCTCATCCCACTCAGAGGCAAAGGAAGGCATGCGCTCCATGGATGGCTGCCCAGAGCTGCAGTTAGACACAGACCCACTTCGGCCAACCAGACCTCCATCCTCCTCTCCAAGTGGCGATGCCAACAAATCAGAGTCTGACTTGGACAAACTTCGAATCAGCCCCGCGTCTGCAGGTCTGACTTTGGCTGCTCCCGCTGATGCAGACTCAGCCGAAACCTCACTCAGCTCCTTTATGTCAGCCTCTGGATTCTGGATCACGTTGGTGGGGTTTACATCCGGTGTGCACTCTGCCATTGCTTTTGGAGCTGCCAAGTGCAGCTCAGTGCCTTCACTGTTTTTCTGCCGTACTCTAACTTGTTCAGTCAGTCCAGAGAATGATCCAAAGTCTTTGTGGAGTTTTTAAGCTTGTAGTTGTGGAAAGCCAACAGATGTACTGGAAGACGCAGATTAATAAAATATAGATGTTGAAGGATCAGTTAATCTTTCTGCGCAGCAGCTCATTCAAAAGTCATTCAAAGTTCTCCTGTTTTGAGGTAAAGACGGCACAAATGAGAGACTTGTTGTGCACGGAAACAATAATCAAGGTCCACCCACTAGTTGTATCCTGTAGCCCTCCCCTTACTAACTGGCTGCTCACTTTGATACTCCTACACTTGCTTTTATCCACACATGCAGCCTTTTTAAAAAAATAAATAATTCAGTTTTTATCATCACTTCAAGTCATTTATTTAGTTATGCAAAGCCTAAAAGCGAATACTCCCAAAGAAATCTGGGAGGGTAACTCAGGTTTAGATAGAGCAAGAAGCACATGTGTTTATACTGTAAATATAAAACATACAGGAAAATGTGTCTACCTTAAGATATAATCTACTCCCAAATATTTAAGAAACTTAGACTCACCAGAACCAAAGAAGCCAGAATCAAAGTTTTAACTACTGCATCTTACCTGATGGCTTTTTCTGGCCCTACCAGTTCTTCCCCTTCCCCGTGATTGTGTCCGTCCTGCTCTGCTCCAAAATCTTAAGGAGGACTGCTTCTATCCTGTAGTGAGGATCAGACGACGGGAGGATCCCGAAGCCTGGCCTTATTCAGACTGACAGCTGGGGTAATCAGGTTACTGACGCACTGGGTGGCTGCTCCATTAGAAAAGGAGGGAGAGTCGGGATTCCTGCGTTGTCATTCATGTGTGTCTACCAGTGTGGGTGCATGGAAGAGATTGAGGTTATTGAGTTACTTAGCTTTGTTACTGTAGAGCAGAAAGAGTCTACAAAGTATTTCAAACCTTTACTGAACCTGTATGGAATACCAATGAGATTTCTAGCGTTGTACCTTTGTGCAGTATACCTATTTATACACAGCGTATTCCTATCTAAAACTCTTTTCTTGGCCTAACTGTTCTGATGTTGTGACCTAAAATCTTGGCAAAAAAGTAAGGATGTTCCTCCGGGAGCTTCTCCCATTTTCTTACCTCTGCAAATTCTCCCTGACCTGAAGCTTTATCGCTAACACGCTTACATATTCATATATTATAATCACAAATCCATTTGAGGCCCAAATATTCACAGTTCAGTGAAACTGATTTTGGTGCCATTTTCATTGTTACTATCATTTATGATTATATTTTTAATCGAATCTTCTTTGCAAGAGCACTCACTAAGTTGTAGGCAGCAGCTCAATCAGGATTATGTGCAACACACATCCAGAGTGCACACAGGTATTCACATTAAACACGTATGCAAATGGAATGAAACATCAACTAAGCATAAAACAGGGGTAATAAGGGTAATAAGGGATGTGACTGCTTCTTCTAGTCATTTGGTGAGACCAACTCACTAAGATTGAACTGATTTTTGCTACTGATTCCAAGCAGCATCTTTAAAAGTCCCCTTTGTTTTTGTAATTCATCCTTAAGACCAAAAACACATTTTTTGTATACTTTTTTGAAGGATATAACTCCGTAGGCTCTGCAAAACCAAATGTTCTTGTTCATGAGTTTACAAGAGGACAAAACAGTTCATCCACTTCAAGCATACAATGTGCAACAGCAAGAGTTTTGAGTTTTGTGATGAATCCATCAAGCTTGTGTAAACACCGCGAGGATGCCTGCAGACGAATAACGTCAACATAATCCAGCACAGACATAAAAGCCCTGGGAACAACTCTTTTTTTGGCCTCAGAGGAAAGCAGGACTGGGAATCTAAAATAAATACCAACTTTCATTTGATATTTTTCTAACTGGTAAATGTGAGTCTTTGAAGAGAGAGAGGTAGAGGCATAGTGAGATAGTAACACAATTTTAGAACCATGTAAAGTAATGATTAAAAAAAAACTGAGTGGATTTCATTTTACATGTGAGGAGAGTTTAAGATGACACCAGACAGTGTTTCTGCTAGAAAATATCACTCTTCAGACAGGGTAGAGATGAGTGTCAGGGATGATTTGTGACAGAAAGAGAACAGCAAGAGTGAAAGGGAATATTTACAAGATGGTAGTGAGACCTACCACGCTCTATGGTTTGTTGACGGCGGCACTGACAAAAAAAACGACAGGAGAAGATTAGACATGCGTAGATCAGAGAGGGAGCTCAGGTTGAGCCCTTCGGACTTGGTGACTTAAAGAGGCAGGGTTGAGATGGTTCGAACCAGTAGTTGATGCTCTGGACAACAGGTGGTGAATATGAAGCTCAGAAATAAAAGATGGAGAAGGCTCATGGATCTAGTGCAGAATCAAAAGTGAGCCTTTATTTTGGCTGGTGAAAAGTTCATAAACAAAGTCTATCGGAAAACTAAACAAACTCCCAAACTGGCTGGAAACAGAGAGAGGAGGTTAACAGATGCTGCGACAAAAGACAAAGGAAGAGCTTGAGTACACACAAGAAAAAAACTGGGTGGACAAAGCTTTTCAGTCTGTGGCTCCAAGCCTCAGGAACGGTTTACCACTCCAGCTCCGTTTAGCTGACTCTGTGGAGTCTTTGAAAAACTTATTTAAATTCATTTATTTATTTGTATTCTGTTTTAAAGGCTCTCCGTTGATATTAGTTGTGTTTTAATTGTCTCACTGACCTTTATGTCTGTGAAGAGCACTATTTAAACAAACTTACCTACTTACAAAGTCGTTATGGGGAAGTGGACACAGGAGGGTCAAGAGTCACAGTAATCAAATACAATTACACAGGAGGGGAAGTGAATTAAACTCAAGACACTAGAAATGAGAAACTATAAAAATAAAACAGGAAGTGAGGACCATAACTAAATGGAGAATGCAGGAACAATAAAAATCTTAACATAAAGCAGTTGACATTGGGGAATAAGATAGGAAACAGAGAAAGTAAATGGAACTAAACACTGAAGACTGAAAATGCTAAGGAATAACACAAAGATGACAGCATCATTTATGCTGTCATCTTTGGCATCGCCACTTGGAGAGGAGGATGGAGGTCTGGTTGGCCGAATTGGGTCTGTGTCCTCATTTTAGGTTTAACAGCGTTTTAGTAGGTAAAAGTGAATGCTTTGACATGAATTGAGCTGCGGTTTGGGGAAGGCATTGAAGGGGACTGGCGATGGCTCAGGGGCCTGGCAGATCCCCATGTACTAAATAGAAGTGAAGAAGTTAGAGAATGGAGAACAAGGAGACAGGGAGGGTGGGGCACAAACCTATATAGATGACAACCGGAAGGAGTGTGTTTGGAGGCTTGGTCCTGCTCCTGAAATTCCGATACATAATCTCCAAAAAAAACCCTGAAAGTCCCAAACTCAAAGAGGTGGGTCAAACACCCAGGACCATAACACATGCAGAGGGTTGATGCGACAGAGGAGGATGGCTGGGATAGGGTTAGAGGGAGTGAGGGTGAGAGAGGCAGATGGTCCACTGTGGCAACCCCTAAAGAGAGCAGGCAAAAGAAGAAGGCTCTTTTATCAAACAGAGCCAAGAGGTGAAAAAATGTATCAAAATGTAGCTAAAATTGAGGGCTTATAGTCACCTGAACTGTTACTTCACGAGAAATTCTTTCAAAATGTGGCGATTTTTAATATGATCGCCCCTCACCGTGTCAGAAAGTTTTCGCTTTACATGATTTATCAATTATATGTATGAGTTTTTGTTAAGTACAAAGGTTGTAAACATTGAAATAGGAAATCTTGATGATATGGCAGGAATGTAGACAAGATCTCACACCCCCTGTGCTATTTATGACTCTTCTCAAAGGGCGCTGACGCTGACAAAAGATTCTCTTGTGAGACATCCTTAGTATTCACAGGCAGCCATAGCAGTGCACAGCTCGCCTCTGTGCCCTGTGCCCTCAATCAGCCAAGTTCCTTGCATGCTCACCTCTTCCCCATGGGCAGTGCTGGTATGAGCATGACAGAAAAGATAACATCCTTCGTTCTCCAAGGAGGGTTCATACAGCCACACGCTGCTTAGGCTCGCAATAACAAAACCCTTTCCTAATGACGCACGCTGGATTGCACGTCTAATGATGAAACAGTTTAAGTTATACACGTATTCAGTGCCATTTTAAACAATAAAAGCTCTGGAGAAAAAAAAAACTTTAGGAGATAATGATGTCTTCACGCCATATTAGAGAGACAAAAATAAAACATGCATCCCCTCCTTCAGCTGGCTGGATGCTGAGCCTTAGGGTAAAGACAGTGGTGACTCATGAACACTCTTCTAACAAAGACATGCACACTGTGCAAGTCACAGAGAGGCAGTGTATACAGTAAACGCACATGCTGAAGTGCAGTGTTTTCAAGTGCACGGGGTTTGTGCCTGTGAATGTGGATTTTGTGCCTCTAAATTGTTTGCACACCGTGACACATGAATGCCTCTTTAGGATTCCTCTGATTCTTCTTGTTTTATCTGCACCTGCTGTATGTGTCTCCAGGTCTACAACTGACATTTTTAATAACATTTCAAAACTTCTAATACCATTTTCTCATCACTCCCGTATGTAAATCATTATCCTTCTCTGCAATTTGGTGCCCTGCAGTTCCCACCTAATCAGTCGGCATTACAGGCACAGAGAATGAGGCCACTGGGTAAAGATCTAATAAAGTTAATCAACCGAGGACGCTATTACCTTCAGATAAGTTCCAAAACAAGTGCTGCAAATCAGCGTCTGATGAAAATCGTAAAAAGTGAAATACAGCTCCCTGCATGCCTGTGAATGCGTAGATCCAAATGGCATTTTTTCACTTGTTTGCCTTGGAGAGATTTAGAGTACATTAACCCGAGAGTCATGGACGCGAATGCTTTGATGCTAACCTCTGAGGTCCTCTGGTCCCAGAGGCAGCAGGGATGCCATTCATCCATGCTATCATTTTCACATACCCCAAAAGTGGGAATTATTACTATTTATCATTGGTGTAGCAGAGCAGTCCAAGGATTGATATCATACTCGTTCCAGTTGTGCTTAGCAGACTAGAAAAAAAGGTCATTTAGAGGGCAACAACACAGCAGATACACATTCTGAAATAACCCTGAAACACGTTCGGGACCTCAGCAGCAAAAGTCATGTGTTTGCCATCATTTTGGAGCTACTGAGAACAAGTGTTTCTCTCTGAATCAACACTCGGCAACACTACAAATGTTCCTTCATTGTACACTTCAAAGTCAAGGGATGAAATGAATCACTTCAAATAGAGGCAACAACAAAACTACCTGCTGTTAGCTCAGAGTAGCTAAAGATGAGGCTCCTGTGAAAGCTTTCCAGCAGACACGAACAGCACTGACCTCTCAGCAGGGAAATGGGAGGGCAAGTGTGCACGGCTGAGTGAAGACGTAGTGCTGGATATCCGTCAGCATTAGAGGAGGAGGGCATGAGAAAGAGAGACTAGAGGGTAGAGATACGATCTTTTTTCAGAGTTTAGTGGGGTTTTGTCAGTAATCTCACTTCTCTTTTACCAGTAAGATCTGAAATATTTGAAGGATATGGGAAATTAGGTTTCCTAAACTGAAGGAGGCAACAATTGGCTACCTGCTAGTGTGTTTCTAATTA